TCTTAGCAAAATTAAATGCATTTCTGTAAGAAAAACATTAATTGTAAAAAAAAAACAAAAAATGGAATTTTGCAAAGAGCTTCAAAGCATCAAAGTACCTCCAATTTTTTTCTACATGTCTAATTTTGAAAAATGTATCCCTGGTGAGTGTCCAAATATTCTATCTTAAATAGTCCTCACTGTATGCTGCATTGTATAATCTATATGAGACTGCAGTGTTAGCTGTACAATATCACAGTATTATTGTACTTTTGCAGTATTAATTTAAAATATAAAAATATTCATATCTATATCTGCTTAAATCTTAACAAAATATGTCTCCTGTCTGCTACTCATTATATAGCAAATGAGAAAGTGGTGAGATTAAAAAAGAAACCTTATTTTTAGGCTAATTTAAGACCCTAAATTAAGACATTCGTGTTAAGTGAGTTAGACGTACCATGATTTTTTTTTTCTTTTAAAAGACTAAAAAAAACCTGCAATACGGCATTTAAAGTCATGTCTATTTTACTATTTATTTAAGTGGCTAACATAGTATAGTATATGATTAAAAAAAAAAAAAAGGGGGTATATTAATATATTTTATAGAGGGTTCTTCCCTTACTTGAGCAAATATTAATTATTGCACAACTATACATATCTTAATATCACAACAATGGCTGCTGAAACAGGTCAAAGTTGGAGTACTTTACCAAGATTCTGGGTTCAGATAAGGAGAAAATGAGCCTAATTACTCCAAGTAAGTAGCCTACTTACATTAGCCTTGTAATATATTAAAAATGCTTTGTATTGTAGGTGCCATGGACCAAAGCCAACAACATATCTAGACAATACAGAGAGAACATAGCCCATCTTTGAGGTGTGTATAGGAAGGGAATAAACGACTAACTCCCAGCATCACTTTCAATCTTAATATAGTGCATACCGCAAGTATGTCTTATTTGTGTACGACCGTCAACACTTCAAAGGGTCGACAGATTCATCGTGAATTTTGAGAACTTTTCAAGTAATAAGATACTGGGCGGAAATTTCCCAGTAGGTTAGTTATTGCTTGTTTTTTGGAATATATCAACACATTGCTTTATTTTGAGACATGTAGCTTCTGTAGCCTAGAGTCAACAAGACATCAATATAAGGGCAGACAAGCAATTTCCTTAGCCGTCACTGTGGGAGAATGAACAACAAATTCAAACTTCTCTTTCTGACACACTGTAAAGGAATCTTCCTAGCATGAAACTCAAACCCCTGTAGATGGCTGAAGGTGCCAAGTACAGTAGGTGGTGGAAAACTTCAGCTAACCATGAACAGAGTGGAGATGTTCAGTCTTTGATCAAGTCTGAACAACAAAACTTGCTTTCCCTTCCAAACACACACATATAGATATATGTATATAAAGAGAGTTTAATCTCTCATAGCACAGAAGCAACTTCACTGACAGAGTTAAAGTGCTGACTTGCAGGCCTACTCCACCAGTCCCGCCCTGCTGTCGACCAAGCATGCCCTGATAAAGCAACAAATGTAATAGAAAGAGAAAATGAAGAGAAAATGTACGGGGGTGGGGGGTAGGGGGGTAGAGGCAGCCAGAGAGCTAAATTAGTAGGTGATTAACGAGCAGGCTTTAGACAGGTCCCACATCATTGATTGTGATGTTGTGCAATGCTGCAGTAGTGAAAACAAGCTGGCCCTTGGAGGAAGGGGTATGAGGTCAGAACGTCAACACCCACACAAGCAAACAAAACTGTTCTCGCAGAAAAAAACATCAAACAGTCATTAGTGAGAAAAACGATGTAAAGCACCGTTTTAGCAACCAGAAACTCTATATTGAACTTCAAGAAATTCTTTTTGAAAGAACACCAGAGATGTTACAGGCAGCTGCCGTGTTTATTATCAGTAAAGGTTACCTCTCAACTATTTTCCCTTTTTTGTTTTATACATTATAACCACAAATCTGAAGGTGTTTGAGATTCTAAGGGAATAGATCCACAGAAATCAATGGATTATTGTGGAACAGGAAAGATGATTCTTATTGGCTTTAAACATTTTTCAAAGATCTGAAATGTTTGCCATGCATTTGCATTCAGCCCCTATGAGTCAATACTTAAAAGATACCTGGACTCTATCCCTAACCAGCTTTCAACATCTTAAAGACCCTGATAAGGCCCACAACTCTAAACATTTTGGTCTGGTGATGAACTTTGATGCTCACCATTAAACATTTTGCAAAATGTGCAAATCCCTTCCTGATTTATGTTTTTCTATATTCACCTAAGAGTAGGCTGACTTTTAATCTGAAAAAATTAGGACCTTGGCACATCAAGATGTCAGCTTTAACTAAAATTAACTCAGTCTCATTCAGTTGAGATGGAGATCATCTGTGAAAATATGTTTTTAAGCTTTGCCAAAGATTCTCAATTACATTTTGATTTGACCTTCTTAATACTACGTAGTTTTGATGAAGATTCGCTAATTAAGGGCTGAACAGTCATCTCACCCTACCCACTATGTGGTTTGGGATAGCCCCTAATGTGGCGGACCCTCTGCAGGAATGCGTAAATAGAGGGTTATTGCTCAGGGGAAGTGTTTAGGGGCCGGTTTGGGATTGGGTCAATGTTACAGGTCTATGAAACTGCTCTCTATTTATTCACTGGATATCGATTGGGCAATGGTAGTACACTGTGCTGTGAAGACATTAGCCGCCATATTGGTACTCCCTAGTTAGACCAGTCGGAATGTAAACAATACGTGTGCTATAGCATCAAACAGCAATGATGTTCTGTTTTTCAGGGGAGCTTAAGACTTTTAAAATGAAGATAAATTCATCCCTTTGACACACGCTATCTCATAGTAACTGTAGATTACTGTCATTTACGGTAAAAAAAAAAAATATATATATATAGGCACATCACATTGCATATTCATTATGAAGTCTATAAATCATGTAATATAAAATATTATACAAATCAAAATTAATAACAACATATTAATGTTAATTGAGCATAATAATACTGTACTTAGATATTAAAAATATTATACATGCACACACACACTATCTGATGATTTGCCAAAAATGCTAAATTGATGATGTACATGTAATACACATGTATTAATTACACTGTTATGGTAATTACATTACATTACAGGCATTTCTATGCCGCGACTCTGTAAGAGTGGGGAGTACCAAGATTGCGGTAGGTGACTTCAGTTTTTTTTTCGGTCTATCTGCAATAAGCCAATAAATAGAGATCAGTGGTGTATGAGGGTTCAGACATCTTGCTTGTGTGTGGGTTACCAAATACCCATTTCCCACCATTAATTAACATAAAAATTATTAAGAAATCCAAGAACCAAATTTTTTTTTTTTAAATATTTCTAAATATTTTTTTGCCCAAATCTATGTTTAAGGCTGGCAAACCTAAAATCCCTCTGACCACTAACTGGACAGTATCTCTATCCCTGCAAAAGAAACAAAAACTGAGACCATGATGCTGCCACAACCATATTTAGCCGTAGGGAAGGCGTGAAAATATAAATTTTCTCACACAAATGTTTTCCATGAAAGAAAAAAATATATATTAATAACCTCATCTGGCCTGAGCTCATTCCGCCATGTTTTGCAATCACCTCAATGAGACATGTGAAGAAATAGAAAAGAAGGCTTCCAAAGACTCTCAGCAACTGCTTTCTTATTCAATGATGCTTGTAGTGGCAATCTCTATTCGTTTTTCAAAAAATACCACTTAGAGCTGCAGACACAGTAATTTCTTCACGTGCACAACATGACAAGTTCCTAAAGTTTTGATGTCTTTACTTAGAAACAAATCGGTTACAAAATTTAGAAAGCGCACGGTAAGAAAACTTCATGCTCCCATGCCTTGCGCAGCTCTGACCAAACAGGCCCTGCACGTTCTCAGTTACATTACTTAAAGGGGCAGTCATCAAATATTTTTTATACCAATAACCGTTTTCTTAGAACTATGAAATACACAAAGACATGAACTAAGAATGAAAGATAATATAAACTGCATCTATGAACTGTACATATTTCTTGCATATTCTATCTTTTCTGCTTTATGGCTCTTACAATGCTGTTCTTTAGTTATAATGTTTTTTTTTTTCATTCATAGAGGATTGCTAAGAAGAATAAATTGCATACATTAGGACAGTTGCCTTCACTGGTTTTTATTTCAGGTTATCGATGTAAAGGGGGCTGAATTAAAGTGTACATCAGACTCTTCTTTTGAAAAAACTAGTCGCTTCTAATGAATAAATTTGTTTTTGCATTTCCAGGCTATCATGGAAATCTGTATAAAGTGTCTTATGTTTTGTCATTGCAAATGCAAAAAAGTATGATTGAGATACAAATACTTTTGCAAAGAATAGTAGAATTTAAGAACCTTTTAGAGAGCAGGTAACTCCAACATCACAAAACAGTTTTTAAAATGGATCTAAACCAGACTTTAATGCAGTCTGTACTAAACGTGTGTTTGTAACACCTACGGCCTTTACAGTCCCTCTCCTTTCATATCTGACTGACTCATCACTATCTTCCACTCTGCATGAGTAAAGCCAGATTTCAAACTCCACTGTCGCACAGAGGAAGGATGAAGGAGAGGTGCAGTCGGTGGAGAAACGCTGATGAAGGCAATAAGACATGAGAGCCTTCTGTCATTCCTTCTCACTCTGCAGCTGGTCAGGTGCCAACAACAGAGTACTCTACACTAGGGTTGGGGAGGTGCATAGAGCTGGCCCGTCACGCATCTTACTCTGTCCTTGCCACTTTTCTAACTCTGCCAAGCTAATGATGATGGCAATAAGGGGGATTAGAAAAATAGGGGAGCACTTAAGAACTTGGTACAGAGTTAGCCAAGAAAAGGAACAGGCTTTCACAATGTGACCCTAGGTTAAAAGGACCACAGTAAAGTCTTAATAATTTTAGAGAAGACATTTTAGCAGCCATAATGCAATAAGCAGGGAGGATGGTTTCTCCTTCACACACCTACCTTTTCATTGTTGTAGTAGGCCAGACTCTCGCCATCAAATCTCACCCATCTTCTTTGAAAAACACAATTTCTGCAAGAACAGATGCAAAGGTTAAAGAAATGAAAAAAATCAACACCTGATTTTAGAGCTTCATGAAAAGTGAAAAGAAACTCCACTGGCATGAAGACAGTGAGCTGCTAATCTACTCTGCGCAGGTACTCATATTTTATCATGAGTGCCACTGATCCATTAGTGTCAAGAGTCGTATCAACAGCTGTCAATTATCCTAATCAAAATAAATGGCCACATTGAGTCTGAATATTCAACAGCCCAAGGGCAGTTTGCCAAACCCATGCAAATCAGGTGCTGAAGGAGACTATATGAAGAAAATTAATGATTGATGGTTTGACTTCAAGGTAACATTGATGTATGCAGTGCCAAAAGACTGAAAAAGGAAATCTGGTTTTGCCAAAAAGCCAAAGTGAGTAAAAGAAAAAGCACTTTACCCGCCATCTGAAAACCACAAGGCTTACTCCCACCTTCCTTCCTTCCTTCCTTTCTCTAATAATAGATTCATATAAATTTGATAGAGCAGCTTCACATATCTGTCCGTGGCACCATTTGTCAGTTCAACATATTTAAAGGCTTGAGACGCATGGGGTATAAGAGACCCAGAGGAGGATGAAAACTCAATCTTTCATCTAAGACTTATGGAAGGATCAGGAGAGGAAAAAAAACTGACAAGCTGCCGTGCTTTAGCTACCAAAGCAGAAATCACAGACGTGAGCACTTTACTACGTCTTCTCTCCAGAAAAAGTTATTTTTACTTCGCAGCATTTCTCTGGCATCATTTTTGTAGAGGATTTCTCAAAATTACATTGTGTCTGCACATTTCCAACAGCGTTTGAATTACTTTCAGCAGATTTCTATAACAGATGCACAATATATGGAAACACGGTTATTGCAGTATAGATTATTACAATATCAAAATGACAAAGGATTGCTTAGATGCAGTATTTGGCCGGATATCTTATTTAATGCAGTTATAATACAGATGAAAATTACCCTCCATAGCCAACTCAGCCATATTTATATTGGTCTTAGTATGTAAACAATTTAAAACTTATGTATATTTGACACTTTTATAGATGCAAAGGCTAAATAAAAAAAAAAACTAATTTGCAAACATTAGACAAAACAGGCAGGAAAACCTGAATTAATCATAACTGACATCAGTTACAATACTCAGCACCAGCAGTGCAATTAAAAGTTTTCCTGATTTTGTGCACCTCTAATTTCCAATAACATTACCAGCAATAGTGTTTCCACCTGACTAAACCCTATGAATACTTTCTCCACCTCTGGCAAATTGAGATTAAGTGACTACAAGAAACATATTTGGCCTCATGCAAGCTGCTTTCCACTGACAGGTGTGGCTTATTTCTGCATAGGTCATAAACTGCAAGGGTGCAGAAATCCTAGAGAACGCATTAATATCTGCTGAAAGTAAGAGGGATTTTAGAATGCTAACAACACTGTTGCATTCGTTCCAATTAAAATACAAGAAATAAGCAGGCGTGAATAAAAAGAGCTAGCAGGCACATAGCACATCCTGACAATGATTCAAGGCTTTAATTTGTCACACGAAATGGGTCAAACACCTGAAAAATGAACACGAATAATTCATTCAAAATGGGTAAGCAATGATTCAGGACAAAAAAGCCATTTGTGAACACAAACCGATCCAGACTGGGTTCTAGTGAGTTCCTATTTAATGTGTTTTAAAACATTTGCTGCTGTGTGTTTTTTTGTGCATGACGTCATCAGAAACTGCTTGGATAAAATAAGAGGTTTGTTGCACAGAACCGTCAACAGACTTCATCCATTAAAGCTATAACTGAGGGTGCAGTGGTGGCGAAACGGGCTGAGCAATCAACCAATGAATAAAGGCCTTTATCCTTGAACCTGTGACACAGCTGTTACAGGTTTACTTGTTTCCCCTTGGTCTAAATCCCATTTTAGATCCGGATGCTTTAAAAAAAACTGGCAATAAGTGCCTATGAATGATCCAGTAGTTTTATGAGTGGTTTTATTTTGGCCAATTCATCAATTTTTGCAAAGACTGTAAAAAACCATGTATATTTGCTTATTTTTATACAATTTAGTCTGTCTAAAAATGCGACTATGCTCTTAGTATACTTAGTGAGACTATTTGTAAAGGTTGTAAACTGCTTGAAATGCTACATGGCTAAATAATCATTTATTGTGTTTGTAAACTTTGATATATTTCATTTTACTGTATTGTAGCTTCCAGAAAACAAAGGTTGCAGTTAATGCATATTTGGTAGAATAATAGAAAACAAATAAAGCTTGAATGCATGAAAGCTGTAAAGAGCTCATACTGTCAATAAGGGAACATGTTTGTTTTTTTCAAAAACGCTGAATTTATTTTTGAAGACAGTGACACAAAAAATGACTGGCTTACTTTCCTGCAACTTCCGCCCACTGCAACAACTTTCACACCAAACATCAGCTGAGGCTATAAGTAAAAACTAGCGAGGATTAAAATGTGTGAACTTAGCAGGTTAACTTACCCTTGAGGTGACAGCTTGTCCAGCCAGCCAACTTTGAGCACTTGTTGTTTGGGAGCTCCGTAGAAGCAAGCGTACGGCGAGATATCAGGCTGTGGGCTTTCAGTCTCTCGAGAGTTTACAGAGTCTGAGTAGAGGTCGCATTCCACCATTACTAAAGACTCATCTTCAGGACCATTAGTCCCCGAAATGACTGGGGCAGTTTCAGGGATCAAGGCAAAAGCTGGGTGCAGACCGGCCCCAGGTAGCGTGCTTGCATGCAGGTTTACTGTCGAATATCCATCGTCGCCTTGGACAGCTGGAGCTGGAGGACTCCCTTTCTCCTTTTGCTTTTTTCTGCAGGAGTAATATATGCATATTGATTTTATGTTGTATAAAACTGAAGTTACCTCTGTTTACTGCATAATTGTTTGAGAAATTATCTGATGATGAAATAAATCGGAACAACCAGTGATTTTTTTTTTGGCTATGTTGGTTTCATGGAGTCAATAAAGCTCAGATGTAAACTTTTAGTGTCTCTTGCTATTTTTTTTATTTATTTATTTATTTATTTTTTTGCCTGAAGCTGAAGATATTTAATCAGTTTCTGGCTCAACAAAACTCATCAAGGTCAAATACCTTTTGGCTCTGGCTTCACAATTAGATCAAAAACACAGTCAGCATGAAGACAAGTTGTCTGGTTTTCTATGGTGTCAAAATTATGGGAAGTTATGTAAGCCTTAATTTCAAAAAAGTTAAAATACAATCCACTGGACTTTGTTTCCTTGTCTGAAACTGGGAAACAAAGTTTCTGTTTTTTTGTTACTTTTTTTTGTTACTTTTTTGGAATGACTATGACCTGGATGACTGAGAATCTTCATTATCATATGTAAGCATTCATACTAATTAAAGACTTGCTCATATCAACCTCCAATTGCTCCTCTTATTTTTACAGAATAAAGTTTTAATCAGTTTAGTGTATGTTCCATTAGAGAAAGATTGGTACAAATGCAACTTTTTCACCTTAAAATGATAAACTTCAGTGTATTTCACTAAAAAAGTAACACACAATGTTTAAGTGAAAGGAAACATTTTAACTCCAAGACAAAACAAGTAGTAAAATGCCTACATTGTTTTAAACACCTTTGCTTTTGTTACACATTACATGAATCTGCAGGTTACTAAGCTGTTAAAAACAATAATTTGGGACATAAGCAGAAAATCCACTGCCATACTTAGACAAGCTGTAACTGTATCCACGTGGATAAACCTTGAAGTCTATTTTCCTTTCAATTTTACAGCTAACTTCATGTGATAACTTATCTACAAACTGTGTGTGTAGTGAGTCCCTGCTGATCTATAAAAAACTGTTACAACCCTTGTTGGGGGGGCTCATTCCTCAACCCTTTTTCCCTGAACGGTAACAACAAGCCCAGCGCTGCAATATGAACAACCTTCTCTGTCTGGTTAAGATTAAGTTGCTGTTAAACCTCAGGCCTGGTTTTATAGTGTTACTATATTGAGAAGTTATTTAACACTAGAACTCCCAAGAGAGTCAATTTGACGGTTCTAAGATTTTGAAGTGAAATATCGGTCATGTTAACTGACTTTTTCTTTTTCTATATTTCCTTCATGTTCACATTGTTTTTTTAAATAACATAACCTAAAATATAAATACAGTTAATTTTACCGTGATCTCCCACAGCTCTATTAGATGCATTATAAATTCTTCCCACAGTTGATCAATGTTTGGTACCGTTGCCTAGCAACCAACATTCTACCTAAAAATCTGAAGAACCCTTTGGCTAATAAGGAAAATGGCTTTAGGAAGAAATCTAACAGTGAAACAGGCTTTAGAAATGCTTCGAATTATTGATGGTAGCAATTCGGGAGGAGATGCAGAGACCGATGATGACGACAGGTCGGTGGGAAGCGGCCTAGATGCTGACAGCGAGTCTGAGCTGCTCCACTTAGCAGCCCAAAAGCCAAACCAAAGCCTCTTGTCTACTATAATCACACAAAGGTTGGCATGGATATGTTAGATCAGATGATGTGAAAGTATTCTGTAAAAGCTCCACACGAAGATTGCTTGTGACTGTCTTTTACAATTTCCTGGACATAGCAGCTATAAACACATTGGTTTTGTTTAGGAGCCGTTTGAACGTCACCTTCTTTGTTACCAAACCCCTCCGCCGCAGAGGAGCCAAAGAAAACAGTGCCAGGTGCGTCAGTGCTGCACAATGTTTGTCATAAATGTGACAAAAGGTGGTGTGCTAGAAATATTCGGGGGGGGAAACAATCAATTTCTCTAAATAAAAATGCTATTTCAAATTTTAAACCTGCATAGTAAAACAGTCTTATCTATTTTACTGATTTATTTTCAATACAAATTTAGACTACAACTAATAACAGTATATAGTACAGCCTGTAAGAAATACATATTGGACCCGTTTTAAGGTTTACATATCCCTAATGGGTTTATATCGCACACTAGAACCATTTCAGTAGGTGACATCATCACTACTCTTGCAGTCCATTGGGAAAAATGTACCCATCAAATTGACTGCCAGTGGGAGTACTAGTAGGATCAGAATTCTGGGAGTCTTAGTGTTAAAGTAAGGTTAAACCTGTGATTGGCTCCATGCAAAGAGATGAGAATGAAAGCTCTGGAGTGTGAGCATTTACACTCTGATATGAGCAAATTAAATCAAGAGCAACAAGCTGCCTGAATCAGTTTTTTTACTCAGTGGTTCCTAACCCTAGTCCTAAAGTATCTCTGCCCTCAAGCTTTAGATGTCTCTCTGTTCTAGGACGCCTGATCTGAATGATTGCATGACCTTCTTAGAGGCCATTAAGAGCACATGTGGACACTTCACTGTCTGAGCGAATGGGAGGCAGGTTTAGTCTGTAGTGCTTTCTCCAATGCAAACCACACTAAAAATAAAAACCTAACTATTTTCCCTTTCACGTTATAATCAAAAAGTATTAATTAAAGATAAAGTGAAAGATTTTCTTGAATTTTTTAAAAGACCCACCATCTCCAGGGTTGTACATGTGAAAAAATTCACATGTACAACCCTGTACCCACTCCCGAGAGGGAACGCCTATTAAATGTGTGTGAGAGCGTACAAGAGCCCATTTCTCCTCTTGCATGCTGTTTAAAGTTGCTGTTTGCATCGCTCATACAAGCTTACTTTCCAAAAGAAGATTTGTATTTTTTCCACTATGTCGTTCCCATTTTCACCGGTAAGTGAAAATGGGGACAAGCATTATGTAAACATATCACCAGTATGATTGACAATTAGGAGGACCACTTATTTTAATGATCCACCTAGAAAAATAACATCCTCCACTATACCTTTAATTATTTCTATAAGATTTGAATCAAATACACTGAGGTTTGTGGTTGTCACATATAAAGAATATGGAAGAGATCAAGGGGTATGAATACTAAAAGGAACTGTAACAGCCTAAAAATTGTAGGTGCAGGAGAGAATGCTTTTTCTGTTAAGAACTGCAGCTTATTTGGAAGCAGCATTTAATCAACATACACACCTCTTTTTCTTCTGTTTCATCTTGGCCTTAAACCCCTTCTGCAACCCGTCTTTGGCCCCTTTTTCCTAGGGAGAGCATCAGAGATTAGCATCGGACGAAAGAGAGTGTCGATCTTTCAGCAGGACATCCTTATCAAGTCTGTGCCCTAAACTATGTTAACTTTAGTAGCAGGGTGACATTTCAATTAACCTCAGGGGGCAGACTGAGATAGGCACATTTTCCAGTCTGCTACGTGTTTGTGGTGACATCATTAACACTGAGAAGGGAAGTTAGCTGCCAGTGTGGCTGAAACAGCAAAGATGGTACAGAAGATCTGAGAAACGCCGGTTCCTCTTTGGTAAGCTGCTCATCATTTGTCCAAGAGTGGGAGTGAGCTCCGTCTTACCGGAGATGAGCCAGGGTTGTTGTACAGGAATACTTCTCCGTAGGGAACGATGGGCGTCAAGGTTCTTTGAAGTGGAGCTAAAAAAGAAACAGAAACAACACAAATGCAGCTTTGTCAGAGAGTTGAAACTTGGAAAAAAAAAATAAACTAACATGATGTGAAGGCCTTAAAACATTGGGCTTGAAAGGGAGCAGCTTAACCGGATTGTTCCAGTTGAATTTCAAATCACTTAGAAGTTATAGGGCTCCTTCATTTAACCAACTAATTTATCTGAGTAAACGTCTCAGCCCTTGATCCGTTCAGGCACAAACCAATTAATTTTTTTCCCCCCTTTATGCCGTAGCATGCCTATCTCTCTGCCTCTGCCCTTTTCTGCTCACTAATGGGAGCTTGATCCTCCTCGGACCGTCTCAAACGAACAGAGTCACTGCCAAGACTGCTTTCTCTGTCTTTTGTTCCTACAGCAACTGTGGTCAGAGGAAAGCAAGGATGAATGAGTAGAAGAGAGAGAGCGACTCACACCAGACACTATTAGTCTGGAGACCTGGAGCTACAACGCGTAGGCCGCTTCCTGTCACTGTGAAAAATGACACTACACCCTCCCGAGGATTGTGAGGGCCAGAAGTTGTCGCCACGGGGCCAGACATACACGCAAAGACACATCGGCGGATGGACAGATAGACTTTTAGACTGTACAAAGATGGAACCCCCCTCAAACACTTTAAGATGCCTCGAGACAAACAAAGACATACGAGGGCAGTAAGCCAAATGGAAAAATTTTTTTTAAACACCTAACAGAAACTGTTTTTCCTTTTTCTTTACAATTAAGCGGGCCTTTATAGAAGAGCACAAGAGGCATGCATTCAGTTTTATAAGTTGTATCAAGGGGTCAGAATGCTTGATGATAGACTGCACTCCAATACTGCAGCTTCTCTACGGACAAGCTTGGTGGGCAGATAGCAACCATCAATCACCTTCTATCAGCCGACCTTCAAGCTCATGGGTCTCTCCTAGAGACCCAACAGACATCACTGCACTCTATTGCTCTCTGCTCCCCTCTACTGTTTTTTTCTCTCTTGTGTCTGCCATGTGCCTTTGTTTTTCTCAGAGGCAACTTTATCTGCTTCTGACCAGACTTTGTTGAGCAGCAGTCTGAGCAACCTCTACGCCATCCCCATGCTCAGAGTTAGAAAGAAGAGGAGTTAAGTCAGAGAGACTAAGGTCACTTTGTAATTAACACTTCTTTTAGATGCATGCATGCCGGGAGAGGAGGTTAAAGAACTAGATAAACTATTCTTTTTAATCAAGCCATGGTTTGCTAAAAAAAAAAAAAACATCAGAAGTGTGAGAAAAGGTATTGAGTAAGGACATGTTACTGTTCAACATTTATTATGAATAACTGCACCCTAAACTGCTGTCACATTGATTGACATCTTGCTATCCTGAAATACTGAAAAGAATGGTTATCTGGTTTGTGGTAAAATGTGGATTAATTAAATGACAATTAAAGGTATAGTGCAGGATGCCCTTTTTACAGGTGGATCATGCTCGTCCCCATTTTCACTTACCGGTGGTGAGTCTGACATAGTGGAAAAAATAGCAAATCTTCTTTTGGAAAGTAAGCTTGTGTAAGCGATGCAAACAACAACTTTTAAACAGAGCGTGCATGAGGACAAAGGGCTCATGCACGCTCTTGCACACGTTTAATAGGTGTTTCCTCTCGGGAGCGGGTACAGGGTTGTGTATGTGCATCGTTTTTTTTAAGTGGAGAGGGCGGGTCTTTTCAAAAATTTGCGAAAATCCTCCAACTATACTCTTAACCCGTTTTGAATAGTAAAGGTACATTGGGATCAAGAGTTTAGAATTTTCCTGTTCAACTATATAAAGCTAGGCTTATACTGTGCACACTTACACAGTTTTTTTGCCCTTTTCGGGCCGACTTTCCAGTTGGTGAGAATTTTTTTTATTTCAGCCTGATCATGCATCGTGTATTGTACAGGAAGTAACGAGGGGCGATCAGCCTTTCAAGACCACCTCCCGATCAGGAATTGTGAGGTCGGCAGAAAATTAAATATGTTTGATTTTCAGCCGACCGTCATGGGCAAATCACTCAGTGGGCATGCACAAACAAGGATTCTTCTTCTTTTTCCTCTCAGATGAAAACACAAAAGCATGGCAGGAGTGAAACGGAGCTCTTTCTGTAAAACTGACAGGCTGTAGTAGCCATGTTTGCTAAGCCATGTCTTTGTCTAAATATGTCGCCTTTTCTTTTTAGGGCTTTCAGCACAAAATTGCACAAATTGCCATGGCAGCACACTTCACTCTATTGAGCTTCATACTCCTATTTTTTTGGCTTCATGATAGATGATTCAGAGCAGCTCCATCTCACTGCGGAGCTGAGTCCGACGTGGTTTTTTAGATGTACTGAACAGGTAGATCGAATCAGAGTGTCAGGCCACACAGTTTGAGAGCATACATTGTGAGCTGTGTACCGCTTGCAGTGTAGCCGCGATTGAAAAAAAATTGCACAGTGTATGCCCGGCTTGGGGTAGGGTAGGGTTATTGAGAAGCCAGTCTTGTTTTCAATCTGTCTCCATATTTAAAGGGTCCATTTGTAATTTTCCATGCCAGAGTAAAATTGATTTTAACCTATAGTAGAATCACTGCTGCTCTGCAATAAAAGAGCCAGTTTCCGAGTTTTTGGCATAGTTTCTTCTGATGTAAAAATATATATAATTTCACAAGAAAAATAAATGCCTATAAAAGCAAACAAAGGCATATGAAGACGTCCAGTTTCTTGATTAAGACATTAAAAATATATACTTTTTAAAATAATTAAATCAAAATGTAAAATATTTCGATATATATTGATTTCTATATTTGTAATGACTAGAAATGACTAAAGTGTCATTTCATTTTTCGTCGGATTGGATACGCATTTCCACCCTAGGGCGCAAAAATCGTTGCCTATTGACTCTCGTAAAAAGTTATACATGCGCAGTAGCAATACAAAGGTAAGGGAGAGCTCCCTGTCAGCTAACAGGTGTACTTGCTTACCACCTGCTGGTGATAAACAGGTCGAGTTGCAGGAGTTGGAGAGGCATTAGAGAGAGAGAGAGAGAGAGAGAGATTGCAGTTAGCCAAGCCTTGGTTTAGCTACAAGGCTTGGCTAACTGCATGCAACGAGGCTAACACTTATTCTGGTTTCCCTCCCTCCTTTTTCAAACGTCAGGATCTGGATCCAGCATGGATAAAAACAGCTAGGACTGATTTAAAGCACTTTTTGGAAGAGGCAAACAAGCATGAACAATCTGAGATTCACATGGAAAATAATACAGTGCACTTTTTATAGCTCTTTGTTAATTTGCGTAGTTGCTCTTAAATAAACATTCTCAGACAATATATAGTTTTTATATATAAAAAAAATATGTATAAAGCTGACTAATCAATTCCCCATTAATAAACTTGTACATAATTTTTTTTAGGTTTGTGACACACTATTCGAACATGTAAAACACAGATTTGCATTCACAAAGCCTCAGAAGGGCAAGATTTCTGTACAAAAAAAGTAAACCTTTACATGGAATTATATTTTGTTTTGATAATCTTTTTTTTTTGTTGGAATTCATATTAATATACTGGTGTGATAACTTAGTATAAATGTGGTTTTTGGTATACGTCTATTTTTAATTTATAGTGCCCCCTGGAGAAAACTCTAAACTCACTCAAATGTTCCACCCGAATTTTAAGATTTATTTAAATTCATGACACAGACAAATACCATTTACTTTCTTGTTAGATGATTTTAACACAAACCTATTAAATTACCTTGCATGATCCATATTCATTTGTATAATAAAGCTTATTTATTTGAAATACATGTATTTAGCATAAATAGGGTATCTACTCATAATCAATGAGTGTATTTATTCCAAATACATGAAGTTTATTGCTTGAATTGCATAAAGGTAACCTGATTATTAGGCAATGCAAACAAATAAACTTTATGTATTTGAAACAAAATACACAATTAATTTTGTTTAAACTTATATTATCAATTCAAAATACAAACCTGATAATTTTGCATTTAATAATTGCTGTAAATAGGCCATGTTAAAATTATTAATATGAATAATATAAAGTTTATTTAATAGTTTTGTGTTAAAATGATCTAAAAAAAAAAAGTAATTGGCAATCTTCTTAGGTAATAAAATGACATAATTATGTGAAATATTTCTGTGTAATACTGCCCTTAGTGATCAGACAATCAGTTCAAATCCGTGATGACATCAAACTCCTAATCATTTCTAAGCCTAACACTGGCAACTGACTGCTTAGAAAGGTTCAGCACAAAAATGCACAAAGGCACAAAGTCCAGATACAGCTGAATTTAATGGGAGTTTGATATTTATAATCTTGTTTTTAACAGTCTTTCACTGTTGCAGGTGAGAATAGATAAATGGTATGAAATGAACTTGACAGTGTGACTTCACAGAAAATCGGAAAAGCGAGTCTCGTTTTCCCTTGCATCTTACATGCTACAATTGATTAAAAAAATGGAAAAGCTCAGAAAAATACCTGACATAGAAGCACAGAAAGAAATAAATGCCATCTCCTTTTTTTGGTAAGTTTTTTTTTTTTTTTTACCTTTTTTTCTAAATCCTGAAAAGCTGGAGGTCTACTGCTGTGCCCTCAATTATATGTTAACTGTGAGGCCACTACCATTTAAAACATTAAAACAAACATACCTTAGATAATTTTTTAACAAAGTTGCCTTTAGCTGTAAATAGACTCAGACATTTTGGATTTTTAATGGGTTTTCAAGAACTTATGCTGGGTTAGGACCACCGCCGCAACTACCATTGAGGATAAGAGGTCATGTCCTTAATTTTGATATATAAACTCAAAAAATAAATTACACTGAAACTGAATGTAGGACGATGATCTAGGTCTCCCACAAAACTGCAAGGTGTTTTATTTGTGAAGAGCCAACTGTACCGCCGCTATCTAATAAAATTAAAAAAAGAAGCTCAAGGATCTCGGCTCGAGCATCTCTGCTCGAGGATCATGGTGTCAACACAGACTGTTGCCATGGTAACTGCTACATACCATTAGTGAGTCTGTCAGTCATGGCAGAGGAAGTGGAAGAGGAGCACATCAAGCTACAAATCTAGAGCTATGAAGGTTATTTTGTTTCAAAACTATTTGTGCAATGTAAGTGTGAATTTGAAGGGGTTTTTTTTGTAGAATTTAAAAATAAATGCACAAATACAATTTTTTTTTTTAACACCTGTTCAAATTTTAAGTACAAGTACACAAATTCTGTTCTACAAGTTGCACATCAAAAACCTCTTACATTCTCAGCTTTAGTCCAAATGGTCCAGAACTATTGTCCCAAAACTATTTGTGCATTGTAACTTTTGTGTTTTGTAACTGTAGAGGTTTTCTTTTTTTTTTTGATCCGTCACAATTACACCTCTTCAAATATTTGAGTACAAGTACACAAATTGTGTTCTGTGAGTTGCACATCAAAAATATCTTCCATTCAGTTTTGCTACAGTTGATCAAAAACAAATAGTGCAAAACAAATTCAAACATGTATTAAAATCTTCAAAAACAATCATTTTTTTCCTTTACACTAATACAAATCAATGAATACAACTGCACAAATCTGCTGCTGCGAGTCAGAATGTAACTTAGAATTAACTCATACTTACAATGCACAAACTTACTACAATACACAAATACTTTTGAAACAAAATAACGTTCATAGAGAACTCCTTAAGTTTTTGACTTGAGAAAAAAAAAAACGGTATTGTTTCAGCCCAGCGAGCCACTTAGACGCCAAAGCAACATCGAATCAAAGTTTATTTAACTCTGTCTATACCAGTCGTCAGTCGTTTCGAGCAGTTGACTGAAAATAAAATGTTTATTCAAATTTAGTCTCTCAGTAGTGGATGTTGAATTGTTTTGTATTTCTACTGGAAGGCAGAGCTCAATGCAGCAAGTTGGTACAGAGCACATCGAGCGGGACAGGAAATATTGTGCAGAAACAAAATAAAACATTTAATTTCAACAATAATAATTCAAGAGTCACTATAATAGTCCAACAAAAAGCCTCAGAATGCCCCATTTTAATTTTCTCTTGTAATGATGAGACTCCTGTATTTATTTTATATAATTGCTTAAATATACATATTTTATCTTGTTTGTTTAATATTTATATTTCACATTATTTATAGCTAATTTTACATGTAATACTTTGAGATTGCGCTGCTCTGAAATTTGCAAAACTAACTTCTGTTGAAATGACAAAACTTCTTGAAACATGATGTTGAAATGGCACATTTTTTTCCCGTTTCTATCATTTTAGTATTTGATTGTGTTGATATTCCTCACTAAAGGAAAAACAGAATAGGGAGGATAAGGCTGAGTCAAACCAAGCTCCTCTTTGGGCCAAGAAGCAGGAGGAGCAGTGAGGAGAGAGATACAGAGAGAGCAGGTACTAGAGAAGGAAGATATTGCATGTTTTAAAAGTCAAATGTTTATTGCAAGTATGTACAAGATTCTAATAGAAATATGTTCAAAAGCTTGCTTCCAAAACAAGAGGAACAGAGAAATGAGCTACCTAGCCTTTTCAAAATCACAACGTTGTTGCCTTTGCTCCTTAAGAATCTGAAAATTGGTAGATCAAAATAATGGAATTAAAAACATTTTCTGGGGAGCAGCAGAAGTGACTCTTGACCTCTGTATTTTTTGGGCCCTCCGTACAGCCCTGCTTAGGACCACTTATATCTATATATAAACTAAAAGATTAAATACCTGCAAACCTGTAGCAGAATATTTTAACTAGGAGCATCCATCTCTGATACAACACTGGTCTTCTTTCGTGCATCCTGAGCTTCATCATGGAATAAACTCTTCAAATGTGCTCCACAAGAATCATGTCAAACAAGGCCTTTCTTGCCTTGCTTCGATGTGAGTGGAAACATTTTTACTTGCAAGTCGAGACTCAAGCTCCCCATGTCCCTGCTGTGGGACCTCCTTGGATTCTTCGGCTCCTCCGTCTCTCTCAGCCTGTTTTGCATCCATCTCGTCCTCGTTTTTCCCAACCCACACTACTGTCTCGCCTTTTTGCCTTTTCTCACTGCCTGTTTTGCTCCATGTGGACAACAGTTGGCAAAGCGAGGCTTGCCAGAAGACTACAGTTATAATAAAAAGGTAGCAATAACAAGGAAGAAGAGGGGAAGAAAGGGTCAGAGGGCAAATTAGATGGAAAAAGGTATCAGTTTATTTAGAGATATCTTTAAATTGGGGGCATTTTAAAGACGTTTTGCTATTAAATCCTGCTTTAGAAAAGCATCATCTGCTCCTATGAGTCCAGAGCTTTACTGACTGGGGATTGCTGAATAAGCCGGATAAATTCAGCAAGGAAAAGACTCAAACACATATGTGCACTGGTTGTACGACAAGCCTGTGTTTAGTTGCAAAAGTTAAACAACTTCTTAAAAAAAACTTTGGAGAGCTGTGCGACAGGAATACATACTAAGGTCTCCCTCAGGAGGAAGATATGAGAGAGCATATGCCCGGTGAGATGAACGCTTGGAACCGGGGTGCCGGCTGCTCTTGCGACACGCAGCCTCCAAACACCCCCGCGCTCTCCCCTCATCTCTTTTCCCTGCTTTCATTCTGGCAAACAACAGCACCGCTGACTCCGTTGCTGTATGAAATATTCATAGCAGAGATAAAGGGGATATAGCCGAAAGTCTGTGTATACCTTTCTGTATGCCGTTTGCACCGGTGGGACGCTCTGAGCCGGTTAGGTGTTCAGGGCTGGTTGTTTGTGCGCTCCTGAGGAGGAAGCAGAATCAGTGGATTAGAACCAGCGGTGCAGCACGTGGGAAAAATAGTTAACACCTTGTAAGCATAAAGACCTTCAGAGCTATGGAAAAGTTTCCCAATTCCAAGGTCCAAATAAAGTACAGAGTGAAGGACATTCATTTATGAGTAATGCAGAAATATACTCCTGGGGCTCTGGTAGGAAGACTGAAAGCAAAAAAAAGGAACATTTCTTTTTCTACTTTAAAGTTTTTTTTTTAAGTATACAAAACATGCTTATTCCCTCAGAGATTTTTGCCTTTGTTGTCGCACTTAGGCCTAGTCAAAGTTTAGACCTAAATCCGACAAAGAAGATGGAGCATCCCCTTTAAACAGGCAGCCTTTTTGCAATTACTTTCCAATGTGGCTTAATTTAAAGAAGCATGAAGAAAAACACTTTCAAAGGGAGGAAATATAATGTAGTGCCATTTGCTAAAGGAAGCAGTAGCAAATCTATCAGTCATTTAGTTTAGTTATCTGCTGTACTTTTTATGACTTTTTTGCCTGCGTCAGTTAATAGTTCTTTCCAAGTATTTGTGATGCCGTGCGCTCCTTGGTTTTGCCAAAGTTCAAACTCATTCACAGAGCAAATGCAGTTTATAGTTACCATAAACTGTTAGTAGAGGCCATAAGGAGACTATCGCTGTATGATAACCATAATGTCAGGTATTTTTACATAATCCTACAGATGCAATTTGATGTAATTTCTAACAATTTTGTTTAAAAAAAAGGAATGCACCGTTTGTACAGAATATTATAGTAGTAGGTCATTATAGTTGTATCGTTGGCAAAAATTCCATCCCTTTTTGATCGCCTTTCTCTTTAATGTAAACCAGAAACAACAAGGTGATGTTGAATGACATTAGATCTTTTACAGACCTGTAGCTGATAGTGTCACTAAAGCCCCATTTACAGTAGCCTCTGAAATCAATCCGTGCCAAGTTCAGACCGAGCTTTGATTAGTTAACCGTGCCGGTTCCTTGCCTCCTATTGATGATCTACGGTACTACTGCTCTCTAGGATTGAAGGAGGGAATCAATCAAAATGATGGTACCGTATCATTCAGGAAGTAATGTTTGGTTATAATTGTGATATTTTGTTGTTTACCGAGAGTCAGGCAAAGAAGGAAGCCTTTGGTGAATTTTCTTGACAGAGTCCGCTTTTGGGAAGTGAATACAACAAAAGATAGTCTAATTAGGGAACAAGGACAAATGTTGAGGTTCATCACACTGCTAAGCAGACTCCTTGCTTAAAAATTATCTGGTATGGTAGGGAAGATAGTATTTTTATGGATGTCTGAGATGATGGGGTCTGCTCATGTGCTCTTTGTTATCTGAGAACCGAGCCTGAACTGAACTGCGCAAAGCCCTACTTTTGAACTAGGACTAGTTTAGCACGGTTCAGTTGTGTTTGGCACAGTCCATTGCAGTTTTGCATGCCATTTACACTCAAAAGTTATCTCGGTTACCTTGCTCTGACAGTTTCCAAAGGGTAGTGTAAATGGGGCATAAGATATAAAACCAGCATTACCTGATTATGAGTATTAATGTTTTTTGTTGTTTTGTTTCAAGATTCAAGAGGGCCTAAAGAGTTGACGCATACAAGTTACCTTAAATGATTCCTCAGGCCAAAACACAGTGCTTGACACTATCAATGCTACAAGCGAGGCTCCCCACTTGGAATACACATCTTCACTGGCCAGGTCATGTGACTTGTAAGAACGTATCGCTTAACGACCAGAGGCTCTTAAATAGCTGTGGAGCTAAGGCTTTTGCTAAACAATTATTTCACCTGTTCGACTACTTGTCACGGCTGAGGCAAAGTAAAGGTTAAAACCTTCTGAGGAGGCTAATAAGAGAAAACGTGAAAGGGAGTTGCACAAGGAAAAACAAGAGTGGATCATGGAACGGAGTTTGTTGATTGGTCCAGGATGAAAGAAGGAGCCGGGTGTAAAACCCATTCTCTTTTTTCAACTCTATTATTAGACTGGTAATAATTTTGCTCATTGTATACAGTCATATATCTTTCTTTTTTCAATGTTTAATAGAAGCAAATCTATTAGGAGTTACAGATCTAGTGCCTCTAGTGGTCAAACGTTACACGGTGTGCCTTTACAGGCTCCAAAGGCAGCAACAATACACAAACAAAACAAAAAAAACTACTGTATGTTTATATGCAAAACAAGGGATTATTGATTGACTTTAGGGCTCCAACTGTTGACTATTTTACAAATCGNCTAGTGGTCAAACGTTACACGGTGTGCCTTTACAGGCTCCAAAGGCAGCAACATTACACAAACAAAACAAAAAAAACTACTGTATGTTTATATGCAAAACAAGGGATTATTGATTGACTTTAGGGCTCCAACTGTTGACTATTTTACAAATCGCTTAATCCTTCTATTTTTTTTTTGATTATTAGATTACTAATCAGATAGCCAAAGGTTCATTAAAGATTTTTTACAATATCAAATAATATTTTCCACTTCCGGAGTTTTGGGTAGAGCATATTGACAGAACATTTTTTGGAAACTTACATGCAAAATGTTGATATATTTCACAATTTCGGTATAATTACTGCTCTAAGTGTGTTGTTCTGACATCTAAAGACATGTTTTAGAGTCTCTACACTCCAGTTAACTAATTAATTAATCTATTACTACATTAGTTTCATTAATTCATCATGATTAATCTGGTTAATTGTTTTGTCCCTTGTTGAGTTACACTAGGTTTAGACATAATGTTATGCATTTTGATTTAATTGCATGCAGGACTGCTTCCTGATGCATTCGTTTGAGCTGGCCTGAGAAGACGTCTTTTTCAACCAATAAAACTCTACTATTGTTGGCCGTACAAATATGTTCATCTCTGCACAAACACTCTCTACATCATCTCACTGCATCGTCAACTGCCCTGAAGCCACAATAACCACAGATATTTCTGCATGCGAGTTTGTAACTGACTTTTAAATGTGCTTAAAATACACACAAACATTTGCACTCAATCAAATTCAGGTTTGAAAAATCACAGGTGTCAAGAATGCAATTTCATATCCTCCACCAATCCATTTGTGGAGTTTGGTCACTCCAATATGATCTGCATACACAGAACAATGGTTTGCACTCGCTGTCCCAATGTGTTGTACATGCAAGTAGATTTGCCCTGTAAAGATCAGCTTGCAGTGTGTCAACATGTTTTAATACAAGTAAACCTTTTGAAGATCAGGTCCCATGTCTGGTGCATGTAATACATCTAATCCCCAAATAACACCAACCCAGCAGTGAAACATGGTGATGAAGGTATCAGGCTGTGGGGATATGATCCAGCAGTGGGGACTGGAAAACCCAAATCGAGGAAAAGGTAAATGGTACTAAATATTCTTGAACAAAACTTGCATCAGTCTGCCTGTGATTTGAGATGTACCCTCCACCCAGGAAGGACAATTCTGGTAGGATAACGACCTCAGCATGCTGCTATAACAAGTGTTTAAGTGGAGACAATCAAATGCATTTGGAAAAGTCCACTTATAATCTGTGATTACACTTGAGGATGGCTGTTCACAAGTAAAAACATCCAACAGAAGAAGCTGTAGCAGGTTTGAACTGGAGATGGAGGAAAAGTCACAGCAGCAAGAACTGACAAGCTAATAAAGACTCATTCAAACAACTTGCAGCTGTAATTGATGCAAAAGCTTGCTCTAAAATATACAGACTCTATGGAGGATGAAGAGTGATGCATGCTAAAGTTTTCCATTTGTTTTACAACAAATAAGTTAAGACATCTTCAAAGTTGTAAGAATTTTAAAACTTAACATAATGCTATCGGGAATGCATACTTTTGCAGGCCAGTGTAGTGTATATATGGTGTACAAATTGGGATTTTCTTGTTTCATCTATTGCACTGAACACTCTAAAACACCTTATTCATTTCAAATATTAGGATATCAGATATCACTAAAAATAATGTATGATTATCAAAACACTGCAAAACCTAAAAAAACATGACTGCTTTTCAAAGTAAGGGTTTAAAAACAGAAACGACATTTAAATGTCCTAGCTATGATTAGCTTTGTTTAAAACTTCTAGCCTGAAGTGTGTCCTATTCTATTAACTGTTTTTAGTTTGGTATTAGGTGTTTTTTTTGTTTTGTTGTTGTTTACTTGTTTTTTGTGTAGTACTCTTATGAACATTAAGATTTAAAAAGTGAACTGAGGCCTCTTAACTGAGCAGCGAGACAGTTGCTTTTAAGTGGTCAGCAGCAGGAACAGTCAGTGTGGTTTCACTCTGCACACAGAGCTGTTTTAAACTGCTTAAATGAACGGCTAAACTACTTTTAACTAGGCCTGGGACCATGGGTCAGTATCAGATTTTCATGAGATGATTAGCCTGGAAAATTACCAAATTTAAAGTTTTTAAGACATTTACAAAAAATTATAATGCAAGAAAGCACAACATGACAAAATTCCCTTATATTTTAGAACAAAAAGGCATCAGCTTCTCTACCTGCTGCTAAAATAACAATAAATGTACCTATTATAATAGTGTCTTTTAAATACTGCCTCTTTGATTTTCCTTAAACAGATCAAAGCAAAGCAAACACAGATGAGGTGTAGCATGACAGATTTTGCTCAACATTAAATCCTTTTGATTCATCTGACTTTTAACGTGGCTAACACAAGGGTTACAAGACTATGCAGCTAATTTTGGTAGGGCTGCTCCCTCAGGTATCAGTTGGCATTGGAGATATGGACTTTAAATTTTTTCCCTAAATTATACGGTACTGATTGCAGTAAGATAGAAAGATAGAAAAAACAATTCTTACTTGTTTGGAACCTCAATCTAACTAATGATAATTACTTTAGCCTAAAATACACCATTTTCCTAATAATGGAAGCTTTGGTACATGAACTATGCTACAAGATGGTATACACTTTTTCATTCAATTGTAACTTTCATGGTTAGACTCACATGGAGCCAGTATTGTAAAAGGAGGACATAGAACAGTCCAACCCATGCCATGTTTTGGGGTTCTGTACACATCAAAAAAGGGATTAGTATTAGACAGTATCCTCACGGTATCTAAAATTCTTATAATGAATTAATGAATGAAAAACTGACTAACAGATATCATGTAGTCTACAGCTCAACAGGCCTGTACCTTAAAACTGTAACTTAAACAGAATTACCATAGTATATGTAAAGTGTGGAATTTCTTTGAGTACATTACTGGTTGTTTTTTTCACAACCATAGTACACAACTTGGCCTCGGCAGATGGCCGCTCACACTTAGCCTGGTTCTGCTGGAGTTTTCTTGCTGTTAAAAGGGAGTTTTTCCTCTTCACTGTCGCTACAAGCATGCTTAGTGTGAGGGATTGCATTCGAGTCAATGAGTCGAAGCAATCAACTGGTTTTCCTTAAATAGAAAACTTTGCATCAATTTGACTGTGTGATCTGGTGAACTGTAAAGTGCCTTGAGATGATGTGTTGTGAATTGGCGCTATATAAATAAACTGAATCGAACTTTACAGTTACAGGTACCCTTTAAAAATAAGCGACATGTTATATTGATGTTATGTTATACATGAACATAATTGACATCCCATTCTTAGTCACTTATCAGATCATAAAATGGAGATACATGATCAAACACTCCAGGGAATGTGCCAACACTGCTGTAGAGTCTAATGATAGCATGCTACACCACTTAAATCTAAATACTGGTCATGTATTAGCTATGTATCGCTTGAAAGCAGCTGCTTGGACATGGAGACACATTTCATAAAGCTCACTAAACACTGTTATTAAGCCTATCCAAAGTCTGTTTCTGCATCCCTCTTTCCATCAGTTTACATGACTAACCCCTTAATCAGTGTAACACAGTCGTTCCCAATCGCTTCAGTTTAATTATAACACCAATGGCATTTATGAGGAACTATTCAGGAGGATCAAGGAACTTTTACAATTAAACTTGTTGCAAAGGTAGCATCATGTCACAGTACCATGGTGGAATTCACTGAACTCCTGAGAGTGACCAATTCTTTCACAATTGTTTGTGTGAGAAGTTTGCAGGCCTGGATTTCATAAAGCTATAGCCATGGAAGTGCTTGGTTCCCTGATTTCAATTATGTAAGCAGATATTTTTGAAAATACAGTGTACCCTCCGACTGGTATAAACTCAATAAATAATGCTAATGGCACTGCTTTCTGTCCAGAAACACTCATTTGCCAATGAATTTTTATTTTTTTTTAATAAGTGGAGTGCCTCAAATGGGCTTATAGAGCCCTATAGAGGGTTTCTTATAATGGTAGTAATATTAGGCAGGACTGTGTATATATTATACACTCCAGCCTCATCTTATACTGCTATGCAGATGATAATCAACTTATTAAAGTCACAGCTATAATGAACTTGTAGACCCTACTGTTTAAACATGTACTCTGATATACTCAAAAATACTTTTTATGATTTTTCTGAGAAGTGTGACTTGTATAAAAATAGTGATATATTTTAAGTAGAGCTCGATTGAATTATCGGACCAATTTTAGCGTCTGGTTCATCAATCGACATTGGTCAAAGTCTTATATGCAGTATTATGGCGAACACATTAGCATTTTAGCCCTGTGTAAGTTTGAGTTCTTTGTGAAATAAGATTATCATATCATGTCCCACCTACTTTTCATACTGACATGCAGGCTGTACTGGGGCTCATAAATTCAAAAGGTAATATTTTCATTGAACCAAATTTTAAAAGGTTCCAACTTATGTATTAAATTCTAATCCTATTTGGATGTTTTAAAAGCTGCAGCATTGCTCCCTAAATCTAGTTTAGTCCCTTTATTGTCAGTTTATCATAAATATGTGAGCTTTACATTTCTGAGGTGTGAATGAATCTGAAACCAGAAACAAAGCCGGCAATAAAAAATATTGGCCTTCAAAATCCCATATCAGTCAGGCTCAAATATCAATTCCATAGAAAGAGGAAAACCCATCTCAACCTGATAAAAAAATGAAAACACCAAAAAACAAAACTTAAGCATTTTATATAAAGTAGTACCTTTCCATTGGTGGCATAGCAGTTTCACTTGGGATCTCAGGAACAGGCCGGTGTCTTAATCTGTAGGAGCGGGTCGGTCGAGGTTCTGCTGGATGTGTCTCATAAATTGAGTTTTCAACCATTTCTCCATCAAAATCGAATTGATCCTCAGGCCGCACTGACAGTAGGTTATCAGTAGCAAAGTTGGAATGACATTGCTCTCCTAAAGGGACCTCCCAATCAGAGGGTATTTCAGAGTTGAGAAGAGATTCACTACTGCTACTTGAAAGCTTGGAGATGGAAACACAGGTACTTGAGTATAGAGATGACTGTGTAAGTGGGAGGTTACGTGGAGCAGGTACAGGTGGAACAACATTTTGGCGGTCTGGAATGGTATCTTGAGCTTCCATATTATACTCCATATTCTCCTTTGGTTGGTTGTGCTGGCAGGACTCTGCCTTTCCTCTATCCTTTAAGAAAACATGTCTTGGGTAGAGCCGTGGCTTCCTTTCATCTCCAACACTCTCCTGAATTTCCTGCTCGCTTTTTACTGTCTTTCCATCCTCGTTCTGTAATCCTAGTGCCTCCAAACTTCGAAGGATGCGTTTCCGGTGGCCGGTTGGGAGAACTTGAATTTCAATAAGTCGCTCATCTGTGAGTCCTCTGCAGTCTTCCACAACCTGATATCCAGACTCTTGGAAAATGGAGATGTACTGCGATAAGCGGAGGGCTAGCAACCACTCCTCAATTTCGTATCTGGGCTCCGGAGACTCCGACATGGTGCTCTAGTCTCACGTCTGAAGTTCTAGTTAGATGCTAAGAACAAGAAGTCCATCCTTACACTGTGGAGACAGACAAAAAAAAACTTTCATTAATGGTGAATGCAATTTTTTTTCCCCAATTACACTTTATAAACATCTTTAATTGAAATAAAGGTGTAGTTCTAAAACTAAATAACAAATGACATTTTGAAATTCAAGGAAAGTTCTCCATATGCAAATTAAAAAGAGGTGCTTGTTCTTTCAATATGAGCATGATTGCAAAAGCCCTTACTGTGGGAAGTTTAATCTAAATAGAGCTAAAAACATCTGAAAAAAAATCAACGGTGTAATTTCTTGCAATGTTTAATCAGCTGCTGACAGGAACCAAGAGGTTTTCTGCTTGACCATCTTGGCCAGTAAAAGCCCAAAACACTCCTAAAAAAGGAACCAAAAGGAACCAACTATGCTAGTTACTTCTGCCAAAAAGTAACTGATGTAGTGTTACCCAGATGAAAAACACCCTAAATTTTCTATTTAAAAAAAAAAGGCTCTCCCAGTAGGCCATTATGTATTCTACTACATTAAAATATGAAGCTGTCATGTGACTTTGTGCAGCCGGAAACCGGAGTGGATTACGAGGACTGCTGAGAGACAGATGTAAACCTTTGGTTATTATATAATGAACAGAACTGGTAAGCTGCACTATCATTAGATTAAGTTATATTTAGTACAGTGAGTGAGCCTAGCGTCTTCATTTGTTTGCATGGAATGATTAGCTTGTTTCGGCATGCTCATTTCTTTTGGATTTAATGATTATGTAAACCACAGTCACTGTGTATATATTTATTCTTTTATTGATTTGTGCAGTATGATTAATTAACATACATTCAGTGTAGTTTATAGAGCAGCCAAATATGTTACTGCAGCTACAGTCCACTTTCTGGATGCATTTATACTGGAGTTGTGAAAATATTTCAAATAGCGGTAATTATAGAATCCAATAACATTGAACATATATGTTGTAGATTATTTATACTATAGAATTTGGAATGGATATTGTCATTTATAATATTGTTTATTTGATTATTGTGCACACCAAATATGTACTTTGTCCTGTCCTTTTTATATAGGCCAGGTTTGGATGTAGATTTAGGAACAATAAGTTGACTAGTTGCCCAAAGGGGTACACAAGTCAAAAACGTTTGGGAAACACTGGTCTAGGCTACTAGACTACCAACTCAAAGAATTTTCCCCAGACCTCAATCAGATTGAATTCACTTTTGGTTGGCCAGGTAGATGTAGCTTCCATGAGCAGCAAATTAAGTTGCACCTGAATGTGAGTCTACACATCATCATTCACAGGAACATGCTAAGTAGTAGAAAATTACCACTGGAACTTAAAAGTTTATTGGATGAAATAGTTAGTTATTAACCACATCGAAGCACATGGCCTTAACTCATATCTGTTAAAATAGCTTTATGAGGAAATGGATGCTGAGCACAGAAGACTTCTTTTGTACACAGAAATAAGAGTTCTCCCCTGGGAGATTTTTAACATCCTGAAACACAATAAACCACAAACCTAATAAATAAATATAAGATTTAATGCAATAATCCCACAAACATACAACATTTCCCACATATGCAATAGCAGTGCCAAATATGAATGTAATAAGCTGCACAGTTAGAGGACGTACAGTTATTACAACTGTAATAATTATTATGTTTGCAGAGATTTATTATGTTTGTTTTAAAGTATATAACTTCCCACAAATCTAATAAGTGGCTTTGAGTGTTTGTTGATTGCTGTTGCCTACTAATTGCTGGGCAGCCAAAGCACCGTTTATATCTGCGGAAACTTTTTACTCAAAGTTTTTCGCAGACAGGTTTTCTAATGATTCTCATAGATTAATAAAGTAATTTTATTTTCTTTTTATTACATTTATAGTTGATTACATTTGTGGGCATTGCAAGATTGATGGCCAGAGTGTTTGAAATATGAGACCTACAGAGATTTCTCTTAGAAAAAAAGTGGCTATAGGTCACATTGACGAGGAATGTGTCAAAAAAGTTGCTTACTATTAGATATACTGTGAGCAGTGTATTTGCATGCTGCAGCTGTGTTAGATGCATGCTGGTCTGTGTATTTCTGTTTCTCTATATGGACATGCTTTGATCTTGGGGACAAAATAAGGAAATGCAATCTAGGACTTTAAGAAGACACTTGTAACCTAACCAGGTGAGAATTTAGTATATAAGGGTGTGAAAACCAAGTTAGGGGGTCTATTTCCTTCGATTGATGGAGGAGGACCAAGCTTGAGGTATAAGAATTGTTTCTTTGTATGATTTCTGTTATACTTAATTAGAATAAATTCTGTTTAACCTTAAAATGCTTTCTTCCTTTTTGCATTTCACGGAGATTACTCCCCATTTGAATAAAGGACTGGATCAAACACTTCTATGACATATTAAACCCTAACACTTAATGAACTAATTCTGTAATTATAAATGACAACTGTCTTATACAAAAGTGTATTCGACATGTTTCAAACATTAGCTGGGATTTTGGAAGAGAACCGGAGCCTTGGTTCTCTTGGCTAGTGCTCAATCACCTTTCTTTGCTTTTAAATGAGTTGAAGGGCTAATCCCCAACCGCAAAATACCAAAGAAAAGCAAACCATTAGGCAACAAACCAGGAGAATGTCTATGGAAGATCAACTGCTGGCATTATTTGAAGTATGTTGGAAACAACAAGTCTGCCAGTGTTCTGGATTAAAGTCATGATGGAAAAACTGAGATTTCCACAACAGCACTGAAAACCCTGTTGCCATTTCCAACATCCAATCCGTGTGAAGCAGGGGTTTTTTTTGCTAAACAAAATTAGAAAGCAGACCTGACATAAGCAGCACATTTCAGTGTCATTGTCTCCCGTTATCTCTACAGTAGATGAGACCGTGTTGTTTCAGAGACAGTATAATGTTTGCATGAAGTTAGGGCAACACTGCTAATAGAGTTGCACACACTGTGAATTTATCTTTAATATATTTAGAAAATACTTTAAAAAAGAAATAAAATAAAATGTGTTATATAATATTTTATTTTTATTTTTTTTTGCATTTTTCTACCATGCCTTAATGATTGATCAGTGAAAATATTTTCTGGTGCAAAATAGATCGGAAAGTGATGCTACATCACTAAAGTCCAGTACAAAATCACTCTTTACTCTGGGTAGTGTAGGCAGAGGCCTACACTTTGGCCTTTTAACTCTGATAGCCAAGCTGAGTAAGACTGGCAGGGCTGATCTCATTTTAAAGGTTAGAGGCTATGTTAAATAGAGTAACCAGAATTTATTTTGGTTGTTTTTTGCCAGTAATGCAGAACTATTCTCTCACGACCACCATGTATGACCAGTCAAACCTTTACATAGAAAACAATAAACGTCTTTGTCGTTGCATTTCCACTAAGGCTTGTTTGGGCAAACAATTCCATTGCAACATCTCTTTTTTTTTTAACACAGTAAAAAATAATCTATGTGTCAAGGTTGGCTTCACACTAAGTTGTGACTTGACGTAGACATAACAAGAAACACATTGAAACATCACTGGATCGACCACAAATGAGTGTGTCATAAACCAGGGTTCTGCTACCTGTGGCACCAGAGCTGCAAGGGGCTCTTTAGACCCCAACAACAGCTCTTAATCATGGCTAAAAATGATTAAAAACAAAGTATCGGTTTTGAGTACACTGAAATAATAACTGCCAGTTTTAGTCTTTAAAATGAAACTGATTTCAACAATAAATTGACGTAAAAAAAAAGTTTTAAGATCTATGTGGTTTAGTTGCCCATATTTTTCAGATAAACATCTACAAAATCAATGTTTCCTCTTTAAACAAAAGATGTAGGTTTTACTTTATTCTAAACCCTAAAAATACAAATGAAATGTTGGTTCTAAGCTGAAAATACTTTTCCTATAGTAAATATTCAACAAAAATTAGTTATCTTTAATCAAAAGGTCTTGTGTGACTCTTATTGACTCTTATTATTCAGCACTTTTACTCTGCATTCAGGCCAAAATGGCTCCATCAGGCAGTAAGCTGCCGGCTTGTTGCTGTTTGTTCTTATGTTTATTTTCTTCTGTATGATGCTTTCATATTTTCATGTTATTTTCAGTATTATGCAACCCTGACAAATAAAGCCAAGTCATAGCACTATACAGTTGGCAAACCAGACCTAAATTTACAACACTTCTGAAGGAGGTAGCAGGAAACGGCAACAGCTCTGATGAAACAGCAGCAAGTATCAAAACTTAAACTTCATCACAATAAAAAAAGCAAGTTTTTTTCCCTTTAAGTATTAATCCTAACCCCTGAAAACATAAAAAAAACTCCACCCTGAAAATGCAGCTGAAGTTTTCTTTCTCTCTCACCATCAAGCTATTACTCACAAAAACTTGAAACCTAAAAGAAGATGCAAAAACATCAGCTTCACTATGTGTCTACTTCTCTTTTAGGTTAGTGAGCTGCTGCTTGCTGGGGACCCTGAAGTGCTACTTCTGCTTTCAAGAGCAATTTAGGCGGTATAAGGACGTCTCAAACAGTGAGCTGAAACTGGCTTTCAGTTGTTTTTTTCTTAATAGCAAATACATACATACATTTATTTTCCTAAATCAGTTATATATCAACACGGATGTAGGTTCAAAGGAGGTAGAGTGAATACAGGAGATAATTAGAGGGACTTAACTCTGCAGAAAGTTAGGTCCAGCATAGTACTGTGACTGTGTTAACAGCGAGGGACACAGATGTGTAAGTATTGCCTTCTCACAGTACTTACACATCCACCTACACACAGCAAGCCATAATAAACCACAAACAATAATAAGATCAGGCATATTTTTGATATGCGGCTACACAGCCTTGCAATCACACCCACAGATCAAGTGCACAGAGAGAGAGAAAAAAGGAGAACTCCTTAAGCGAGGTTTGCACACGACTCGTGGCTATGAAGACATATTTAGCAGAGAGAAAAGGAGCAATTTACACCTACCCAACAGCTTATTAAAGAAATGTGAGGCTACTTCCAG